TTGATTGTTGCTTCTGGAACTTCTGAATAAGAAAAAGAATTCGTCACTCGATGTGGATATTAAGAGATATTGGCCAAATGAATAACTAAATGACCCCATCAGTTGTTCAATCAGTTAAGAAATTACCTCGGACCTAATTTCTTTTAAGTAATAAAATTCACTTCTTTGAACCCCAAAGCAGATGAAACAGCTTCATTAGGAAATTTTACGAATAACTTTATATATTTGAAGTTATGCTCTTCTTATCTCTTTGTGGAACGTGGCCAGATACATCGATAAGATAACTAAAACATGGCTCTTACAGTTGTTCAAATACGGACACAAGGTCAAGAGCATCACCATATCAGGTTTAATTTATTTGCATTATTCAGTTTTAAGAGCCGCTCGATGTTATATAAAGAAGTTTTTGTAGGGTTTCTGTCCATTGGCGTGCACGAACAAACGTAGACCGAGACAGCAGAATGTATCTGAAACTTGGCTTTCTTCTTGTTTTGTTCTCCATCGTCTTTGCGAAGACCTACTTTGAGAGGGAGGATGGGAAATTAAGAGGTTAGTTTCTATTTCACAGCATGAAACAAATTGTTTTGTCAAAATACTTGACCTTTTCTAGTAAATCTAACTTCGACTTGTTACATGTCGTCAGCGAGTGCAACGCCCACAACGATCTCTCCTAAAAGTTTCCGGTGGTTGTTTTACCATTTTAATTTGCACTACTGAGTTTCTTTCCCAGGGCTTTTTCATAACGCTTCGCTGCATTGAAAAAAGTAGCTAATCCCAATGGCAAAACATGCATTGAGATTAATTTTCCGCATCTGTGCAGGAATCAGAAGATAACAAAGACTACAACAATAAAAGTAACGATAATAATGATGGCAAACATTTTTTTCAAGTCACCAATATCGTATGTTTTTCGACGCATAAACCATCTTTTGAATGACCTGTTCATGGCTATTTTTGGGAAGATAAGAAGTAAGATGAAAGAAAAAATGGTTGCTGATGCTCCGGCTGGGTTTTAAGATACTTCTCGTTTCATCACATTCTCCGTTTGAGCCAGAGAGCATAAGCTTAATTATAAAAATGGAAAGCACTTATATCCATTTATAACTTGCAAGTGATTGAGACTGGAGGAGACCATTTAAGGGAAACAGTCACGATTTACGCCAGGGGGAACGCGGGGGACCGTCTTATTTTGTAGGGGATCACATGCTTTCAGAACGGACGAGGTCAATCTTCGCCAACACAATATAAAGGGAGTGCCAAAGGAAATTGACTGCCGATGAACTGCCAATGAAAGGAGATCAGAATAATATTACAGAGCCTTATAAGGGGATTAGGTAAATGGGTTATATTGACACAAACAAAATCCTCCAATAAATATCGACCCCTTACAAAATGGAATTCGACCGTATAGTTGCTAGAAATCTATTGTTGCTGATGATATGTATTGTTGTTGTACTATTACTGAGTAACGTGATTATAGTGTTAAATATTGTGTTGTCAATGATGTGGCATTTTACGATTGGACATACAACGAATAAACGCGCACATGGACTTCAAGTAAAAGTTAATTAATGACCCGCTTAATTTTTACGAAATTGAAACTTTATCTAAAACATGATTTTGTGAGTTTTCTGCCTTTTTTAATTCTGTTTGGTTGTTCATAATCATCAATTTTTTCCCCATTGGAAGATCCGGAAGAGGAACTCAGAGATAACTTCATAAAAACTGGTAAGAATCAACATGATTTTTATTACTAAGAAAATTTTGCAATTTTACTTTGATGAGATTTCTCTGATCTGTCTCGAATAACAAACAAGTTAGACCTCCCCTCCTCCCAGAAAAAAAAATATATAAGGGTGCACTAAATTCCACGACGGACCCCTTTTAAAATAAATTCTGTGTAAAGTAATACTGCATTCATATCATCAGGAATAGTACTGATAAAGTGTGTTTTCCATAGCTTCAAGTAGTCACTAACTTTTTTCTTTAGATTGGCTAACTATGAACTCAACAAACGTCGCTTTAAGAAGCTTCTTTGAAGAGAAACGTTTTCATTGGGTTTAAAACATACTCAAGCTTTAGTGGATATAGCTGAACGGTTAATGGTTAATTTAAGTTTCACAATCCGTTTTTAGTCTCAGGCAAACACAACTACTCCATCACCACCTCTCCATCTTTCCACTCCTCGTCCCGAAACATGAAATATTATTTTTACAAACAGATATTTTATTACTTTTTCCTCTAGAATTGGAAGACCCGAGGCCATATAGATATAGATATCGAGCTCGTAAGTAAAGTGTAAAGACAGATTAAATTGCATGCATCTGTTCTGTTTTGTTTTTTATTTCCGCTTTTGTTTGCTTTTTTGTTTTGTTTTTTTTTTTTGCTTTTGTTTGTTTGTTTTTGCTTATGTTCTTTTTTGCTTCGTTTAATTTGTTTTGATTCATTCGTTTTCTTTCTTTCGAAAATCTTTTCAGGACGTCTCGGTTGTTTCAAAGGCAAACGCAAAATATGTAACAGATACTATACAGATAACAATACATTGAGGTGGTCCTGCAGATGTGTATAAATATGGATTTGAAGGTATAAATATGGATTTGAAGGTATAAATATGGATTTGAAGGTATAAATATGGATTTGAAGGTATAAATATGAATTTGAAAGAACAAATATGATTTAAAGAATTTGGAACTGATTTGGCGAAAGTGAACCGACGTCTATTAAGCACAATTGTCTTTATCTAAGCTCACAGAACTCCTTTTGTTCGTTTCTAGGGATACTCGGAACGCAGGTACTTAACAGAACGAGTCGAAGAAAAGCCAATTGGGGAATAATTAAAGATCAACTTATGAATGAAACAATAAACGAACGAGTCGATCAATTGAATTGTTGTGGATAAATGATTCTTTAAAATAAAAGAAACTAACCAGTGGCTAACAGGTGTTCGAAGATGTATGGTACAGACCCACTGCAACATAGAATCTATCTGTTTATTGTTACAAAAAAGGCAAAATGTTGTAGCGGTGACGTCATCTATGCGTCTGTCCTCTATTATAACATATATAGGAAGCAATCAAAATCATTCAACTCATTATGTAACATTTCAATATGTCGCCCTGTGGTGGACGTCTCCGTGGACTTTTCGTTAATGAAACGATATCAAACAACGTGTTTGTTTTGTTTTGTTTTGTTTTTTTACATTATACGCGTTATCAGGAAGATTTTCCGTCTTGCAAAACAATAAAGCGAGATGCAATGACGACTGCCTTATTAGACGGTAGCTTGAAAACAATGACGAAAAACAGACAAGAACAAGAGCAGAAATGATGTAGAAATGATGCGTAGCAAACTGCATACGTAGGAAAACATTCTCAATATTTCAAACGATATAAAAAAGCACGTCACCAGGTACCACTTTTTCCTTCTCCAACTTGGATCTAAGAATTCGTAAACGCAGTGGGCAGCGGTAAGTACCCAGTTCACTACAATAAGTGAACCACCGCTCAATGAAAACGATCATGGCAGAACCTAACGTTGACCATTCTATCAATGCGTGGGTTTTGGCATTTTCCCACTTATTCCACGCAGTCTAGGAAAGCAGATACCACATGCTAGATGTTGAATAAAGAATAATCGAAACTACTTTCACTAAATTTTTTTTTATAAATATTTCTCTCTAATAACACGAAAAATAAAGAAAATTTTGTATATTTACCACGATTATTTTAGATTTTGGAAAGAAATACTCTGAACGACAGTATGTGCCCATAGACAACAAATTCGCGTATCGGAAAACACACAAACCAATCATAACTTGCGTCAGATGTCAAGTTGAAATTTGAGGCAAGCCCCAGCACCAGGTGAAAAGAACCATTCAGCTTCGAGTCCTGGTAAATCTGAGAGAAAAATACCGAAATGCTTAAAATATGAGAATCCTTAAGAAAAGATTTTAAAGAGGAGGAGTTATTGTGCTGCCTTTAAGAGTCCCTCCTTATTGAGAATATAACTCGTTTTTCTAATAAAGAAGTTGAGTTTGTAGGATTGTTGTGTTCTTTCTGTCGATTAAATCGCACCGTAACAATATAAAACGCATTAAGAAAAAGACGCACGCCACTGCCTTTAGAAAACTGGCTGTTTTGCAAACCTCAGAAAAATTCGACTCTGCAACGTTTCAAAATTATCGTTTCTGGATGGATTTGTCCTTTCTCCAGTACATCCTCATCATAAAATAGACCATACTGCCTACTAACACAGTTTGCAGCATGGCAGTAAAGTATAACCTGTACGAGACAAATGTAAGTAAAACATAAGAACTCCATTTTAGACACGTTTATGCCTTTCGTCTTTGTTTATTTAAGTTTGAGCTGTTATACACCACGTCTTTTGTGAAGAATTGTTTTTTTTTCGCCATCACAGATTTAGACTGACAAGTACTTGTAATAGAGATATGAGCGAAATGGTACGAATTCCTATAAGGACAGATTTACTAAGCGCGACTTTATTGTAACCTGCTATTTTCATTTAATTGTTATTCATGATCAAAGTGAAACCATTGCAATATTTAATCTTTTAGTAGTTGTCATCCTTTTTGTCATGTTTGCAAACCATGTGGTAAAACTCATGCGCTAAAAACAAATTAGATCAAATTAGATTTGGGGAAAACCTCCTGATATATCGCACAAAAGAGCGAAGAGCTCCAACAGGGATTTCACTGGAGAGACCATTTCTTATTTATAGCCAGTGCCAAGGTAATACAATTTTTATATTCATATTTCAACAAACTAAATCAAAAAGTAAATGTTGTAACACATATTGCATATTTAGAGGACACCACCATCTTATTAATCTATTGTGTATGGTAGTTTGTCACTATAGCAGCATTTTTTCATTGGTAAATGAAAATGCAATTTGATACGAAGAGAAAGTGTTTTAAAACAAAGTCTTTGAATTAAGCAGGTAGAATTGTTCTCAAGACTGGTCCACATGCTTTCTTTCTCAAGATGTGTCGCCTCATTTTTATTCTACAGCTATACTTTTGCATAAAGACTGTAGCTCAAGACGGTATGATGTACTTCAAATATTTAACCAACTTGTGTGTTGAGTCGAAATACAGCTTAAATTCGTATCTATACACGTTAGGTAATCGGAGTTTTAGGAGTTGTTTTCGCAGAGAACCCGGCTTTAATCATGGGAAATGTTTGACATCAGTTAGGGATTAGCTTTGTACAGATATTTTAACACTGAATATCATCGCTGTGGAAGCAGAGATCGTCAACAGAAGATAATCTATGATGACGCACGTGTCCTTTCCACAAACAAGAACTTTCACTCGTTTCAGGAAAAGAAACTCATAACTTAACTGCCCTTAGTTTTAACAGTTGCAGTCACATATCAAGCTATTACCACTTCTACTTTCTTTTTCTTGCTTTTACGTTTTCATTATTTTCTTGATATTGAGGGTATACACATTGCTTCTTCGGTTAAAAATCATGTAGAGAATGCATTTGGGTTTTTTTTTTTTGTATGTGTGTGTGTGTGTTTGAAGATGTAAAGTTTGAAATTGCGACGGTCAATCTTCAAAAGTATTGATTAGCGTGAGATAAAAATGTAATGAACATGTGCCCCGATTTTATATACTTCCACAGCTTGACAGAGCCACTACAAATCACTTAATTTTTGGCTATTGTTTGTGTATTTTTTAATTTTTTTTCATTTATGTTTTGTTTATATAGATATATTACTAGTTTGGTTTGTTTTGCTTTCTTTTGCTTTGATTTGTTCTGTTTTGTTTTGTTTTTTTTTTATTTTTCATGAAAATATGGGAGTGTGAAAAATATCAAAATTCGCGAATCTTTGCAGGTGATTGTCGTATTCTGGAATTTAAGCCGGATTTGAAAGATTTTTCTTTGCAAGGTTTCGTTATCAAGAGCTTCGAGGTACAAAGAGAAAGTGACTGTAAAGCGAGGTGCTTTCAGGAACACAACTGTGTTTCTCTCAATATTGGTCCCTCGGGAAACAATGGAGCTTACTTGTGTGAACTGAGTGATTCTGATCATGAGATGCACTCTGAGGCGCTCAAGCCAAGAGATGGCTTCACCTATCACTCGACTGAGGTTAGTTTAACAAGCAAGATTGGAAACAATTTTTTTCCAGCCTTATTTTGCATAGTAAATTTATTGAACGCGTTCGATATGATATAATGGAATCAATATATAGCGCGTTTGCTATCATTAGGCATGTAATATATATATATGTTTTTTTCTCATATTTTTCACTTTAGCATAGACTTCTTTCTATCCATTCGTATGCATCGTATCGTATGTAGCTTGCCGGACTTTAGAGCACTTTACAGGCCATGTTAGGAAATTTGCGAAGCTCAGCGTAAGACCTCAGTAATTTGTTATAACAAATGGAGTGAACACATGACAAACAAGTACTTCGAATTCGAACAAAGCAGTGGTCATCGCAGGTTAGCTAAGATCTAAGCGATTGCAGAGTAGAAACCTGTGGGGGAAAAAAAATCAGGCTTAGACGGGATTCGAGCCTATTCCTCCCAGAAACTGGTTGGTTGCTGCATGGTTGTATTTTAAATTTTTAGAACGCTTGTGTGAAGAATCCCTGCCTTCTTCATCAGTCTTGTCAAAATGGCTTCACGGATAAAGGCTACCGGTGTGTAGGTAAAGGTAACATGACTCAGCTATTCTTAATCCAGTAAAAGGTGGACGGTA